TAAACAATACTAAGTTACTCTGATCTCAATGAGCCACCAATATGGCCGCCGTGACGTCAATGACGTACTTCGTTACAATCCAATATCTAAGRACATACCTCCTTCAGCGCTTGCCACAAATCGTCTGTTTCTGCGTTGGACATAGCGTGTTTTTTTATGTATTCCTAGAGAAAACAATACATCATTGAACGAATTGAGTCGATTGAAGGAAGCTATACAGTTGAGGTAAAGACGTAACGTGATGKAATTGTAATGATACCCTAATTCCAGCTATAAAAACGTTACTTCCAAGGAATGATTCCAACATAGCTAAGATCGACGATCCCTTAAGAAAAATGAAAGTTTATGATTAATTGCAACAATTTCAGAAAACGTTCAGTACTCGATCTGATAGTGCAGACATCATTGCATTGTTGCTGTTATCGAGTGACGTAAGTACCTTTCTGTACGAGATGGCGTCAAAGATCTCAAAGATCTCATTTGGACCATTAACTCTGACTTTGACAGGATGAGATGAAACCAATCCATCGAGTGGGATAGCTGTGGAAAACGAACTCCAGAAATTACGGTCATCCTGTTACGACAAAAGATGATATTCTATGTAATCGATACCTCAAATAGACCCCCAAATCAAAAGCTTGCACCCTATAGTGCATTACATTATCTTTAATGCCTATGGAGTGTGTACGAACCATTTGCCACGTTGGGTGTGCGTCTGCAGTTCCTTTGGATGTCATGTATGTTGCAAAACCTTCGTTCAGCCATAAATCATCCCACCATTTCATAGTTACGATGTTACCAAACCACTGGAAAAGACAAAGACATTGTTCATTAAAGTGTACGATAAGAACGATAGAGATAAAGGATGGTTATAACGATAAGTAATGACAACGACTGTGATACCGATATTGATAAGGACAACGATATCATTAAAGACAAAAGCGACGACAACAGACTTGGAATCAGTTGTTATATATATGTGTATATAACGATAACGATTGCGGTAAAGATAATGATT